AAAAAAAAAAAAAAAAAAAAAAAGAAATGACAAAAGAAATGCCTCTCAATGACCTAGAAATGCCTCTCAATGACCTCAATATAAGTAATATGAATATATGGAAAGCTTCTAATCTCATTATGTTGGTTACATCCATTGTGTGCCGTTAGTAGATACATTTTTATAGATGAACGGATGTTAATGGCATGTTCCCACTGGGGCTCTAGTCACACCTTTGCATTAGTTTAAGACAGTTGCATTCACGAGCCTCAATGCATGGGGAGGAGAAAAAAAAATAAACCACACACTTGTACTATTTTTGGCCAATGCAATGCACAACACGCACTGAATTCACATGTGTTAGTGTTTTCAAGATTAGATGCATTGTGTCAATCTACGCACAGCTTATGTGCCTTACCATTTATTCTGTCGGATATGCTCATACACACGTATTAGAGTACAAGGCAGAATGAATGGTAGCGCACATATGCCACACATTAGCTTGCAGATTTGAATGCGTGTTGCCACGGCAAAGGTATTGACCCAGGCTTAAAGACAAGAATACCATTACTCTTTAAGGCATAACTACTTTCATGTTTCAGTCCTGTAAAAAACTCAAGACATTTCTTTCAAATACTTTTTTTATTTTACGTATGCTGAAAGATTGTTAAAACAAGCAAGAGGGAAATAATTCAGAACTCGGATTCAACAGGTTAAATCTTAAAATGGTTTAATCATAAACTTGATGCAAGTTTACAGATTACTGTACATTGCCAAATAAGTCTGCAATGAAAAAAAAAAAAAAAAAAAAAATTAAAAACAAAAAGCATGCCAAGTCAGCAACCTTCTAAACCCCAAAAGTCAATACCTTACCGGTTTGCTGGTTCCTGCCTTTTGTGTGGTTCTATGGAAGGTGTTAAACAAGGGCCTTGTGAAAACATTTATATTAGGTACCAAATCAAAAAATGAATATCGGAGTGTGTGAGGGGTTCTAGTCAAACTCTAGAAAGCATATTGTCAGAAAAGCTGCAGATTCACAACCTTAATGTGTTTTACCCACAAATACATCAATTGGAGAGCAGTATTGATAGGAGCTGTGTGTCACATAGAATGTTAAGGCCAGAACACAGTTTTGAGCCAACCTGTTCTGCATACCAACTTTTCAAGAGGTAAACATGTACAAGTTATAGGGCATGTAATCCTACAGGGCTCATTACAGAAATGATCTCATTATAAAGTTCTGAGAAATAAACCTGGGTACAAGAATATAGAGGGTAATCTACGGCCAGTTATATTATAAGGCAGACACATATGAATGCAAGCTATTCTACCTTTCACAGCTTTAGATTTGAAATGTCAGCAACTACCAGGGGGAATGGGTTTCCCTTGAATATGTATATATTAGAGCAATGGGAAACTAAAAATTGCTCTAGGTCTACAAAATTGAGCAAACGACTGATTCACCCCATTAAACACAAAAAGGCATCAGATCAAGCAAAACCTCATCTTTAATCCTTACTATTCAACAATAGGAGTAAAGTTTACTTACAAACTAAACAAATTTGGCAGGGAAAAAAAAAAAAAAGGGCTGACAAGTGTTTTCTTCAAGGTCACAATGTCTTCAAAGCCCATTGTGCTTGGTAACCCAAGTCCTACGGAATTCTATAATTCGTAAATGATGCATCTTTATTCAAAAATGTACACAGTTGCCTAATCTTATGTGCCAATTCTTAGTTCACAGAATTCAATTGCAACAACCCGTTAATAAAAATGCAACACTAAGAAAAAAAACAAAAAACCTTAGTATTCAATGACTTTAAGCCTCGTATGATGTTCTTGGAGAAGGAGGGGATGACAGAATAAGATCTTAGCCTGAAAATTGTGTCCTACAAGGAGGACTTCACAAAACTGATTATTGTACACCTTTATGAACAGGCAAAGATGATGGCAGCGTAAACACAATGAATCCAAACCATGTTGATTTCCAACAAGGGAACTGTAATAACTTTATAGCTTTTTAATTTAAACCATTTTCAAAAATGGAATTGAAAACGTCTGTAAGGAAAAAAAAAAAAAAAAAAAAAAAAAAAAAAAAAAAAAAAAAAACCACAAAAAAAAAAACAAAAAAAACCCAAACCCTAGATGTTTTTATCTCACTTTTTTTTTTGCAACGTTTTAGCACTTCAATTTATGGGTTAGGAAAGCTCAGTAGCCTTCTACAGTGTATATTTCCCCAGACCTATAGGCATAAATATTTAATGGCTTTTGTAAACTATACCCTCCCTTGCAACGTTTGGCAATTTTTTTCCACCAAATTGTAATTGGAAAGCCCAAGTCATTTCTTTTAATCATTTCTTAAAACATCCGTTTTAAATGTATGAAACATTAGTTTGGCTTTAAATGATACTATACAAAGTAATTTATTTTTGCAGAGCAAATTCTGCAAAAGAAAAAAACAAAAGAAAAAACAAAAACAAAAACACATGAACAAATGAAATGAAAGCAATTTACAAGTCTAATAAAAGAGGAATGGATGCACTAAGCTAGATCTTCTGATTTAAATAGGATGATAAAATATCTGGAGTGGCCTCTTCAGTAAAGGCAGCTGCTCTCAGTCCCAGAGAAGCAGATGTGGTCTAATATACAGGTCTGACAGTTCCTTTATCTAATAGCTAACATATGCTGTACAGAGGACCCAAGGGCAATATTGGATCAGTGTTGGAAAGAAGTAGAAAATAAAAGTTTATTTAAATCTTGGTCCAAGGTGAGTTTGGAGTTACCCATCTTCTTTTGGAGGAGTGTACCAGCCTGAAGAAAAAAAAAATGCATAAAGTTAGAAAAATATTTGGTTCCAAAACAGGACAACTGCAAAAATATTAAATTGTAAAAAACAGGATAGTAGCCATATCCCCAGAGCTATATTGGGCCACATAACCAGCTAATTATGAGAATATACCCTCCAACAAGATAAAAAAAAAAAAAGGAGCAGCTGCCAGATCGTGAGCACGTACCTACCCCATGCTTCTTAAGTAAGATGAACGACATTAAGGAAGGATTTAAATCTATTTGAATAATTTGTATCATGATGAATTATTCACGACAGGACTGCTGCTCTATTACAGCTTCCAGAGTGAAATATTTTTTTTTTCTCTATGGGTAAAGGGCAATGTGAGACATTTCCCAACACAACAGAAGATCTGGCTGTTTTTGGCACTCCCAACACTTGCTACATTATCACTCATACATACACGGGTTGAGTCTGGTAAACTTATTGTAAAGAGCCACCATAACATGTCTTTCTTCCACTTCCCTCATTGCCCTAACATAGTCATCTGCTTAACTCCTCTATGCAGAAGACGAATAGCTGTTTTTAGGCAAAAGCATTACACAGGTCACAGCAAAGCCATGGCTGCAATTAAAGTGACCTTTATTCATATCTTTAAAATTAACAAAACATACCTTTAGAAATGTTTAGTAATGACAATCTACAAACACATACCTCTAGATAATTGCCGGCTTTGTATTCTTTGCATACCTTATTTCTCTTTTCTTCCCCAGTCTTCTGACAGTGGCCATGTTAAGGCCAGGTTACTAGCTCTCCATTTAGTTCCCTGAACTCTAGCACATGTGACTAGGACATGTGACCATGCACATCATCTCAGGGGAAGAAAATGCATTTCCCCGAGATCTCATGAGATTACTGATGAGATTTCCCAGCTCTACTGATGCAACTTTCCCAAGATGCCACGCTGGGGCACGATCATTTGTGCCAAAGTGAACCAGGAAGTAGATAAACACTATTTGTAAGTAAATGAAAACAATTTTGTTTAATGAATGTAAGATGATTTTAAATCAGCATGCAGAGCTGGATACTGATGTGATTTTTAGTAAAAGGGGGTAAAGGTCTGTATAATGGTTTGATACATCATTTCTATTAAGGTCAGGTCCAAAAACAAAGTGTCAGGTTTGTGTAAAATATTACATATGAATATTTGGTGTTCTACTTTGGAGCCAGCAGTGTTGAAAGTCCAAGGTTTCAACAGAGACAAAGCATTACCATTAAAGCCTTTTCTCGGAGTCCATTGAGTGACACAGCTCCCTTCCCCTGATTCTCTTTCATACCACTTGCTACAACTGGCAGGTGTGAGGGGTTAGGTCCTTAAAGTAGCAGGCTTTTAAAACCGAGGCATAATGTCCAATTCTCCTGGAGGCAACAGCATAACCCTATTTCTTTGAATTCTTCAGAGCAGTGTCCCTCAACGGACGATAGAAAAAAGTAAAATCAGCCTCTGCTGTGCAGTCACTTGAACTAGCCCATAGTGCTCTGAGTAGGTCCTGCCCTCTGCCACCAAAACAGCCCTGACCCATTGAGGTATGGACTCCACTAGACCTCTGAAGCCATGATGTGGCACCTTGCACCAAGCTGTTAAGAGGACTTAAAGGATCTGCTACTAAGTTGCGAGTTGGGATCTCCATGGATCAGAATTGCAAGACAGTCTCATGTCACAGGTCATACACCATGGCAAGACTGAGTAAAGCAACAAGATGCAAGGTTGTTATACTGCATCAGCAAGGTCTCTCCCAGGCAAGGATTTTTAAAGCGGACTGGGGTTTCAAGATGTGCTGTTCAAGATCTTTTGAAGAAGCACAAAGAAACTGACAACGTTGAAGACCGTAGACGCAGTGGTCGGCCAAGGAAACATTGGAGCCGATGAAAGACACATCACGCTTACTTCCCTTCGACATTGGAAGATGTCCAGCAATGCCATCAGCACCGAACTGGCAGAAACCAGTGGGACCCAGGAACACCCATCTACTGTCCGGAGAAGTCTGGACAGAAGTGGTCTTCATGGAAGAATTGCAGCCTAAAAGCCATACCTCAGACGTGGAAAGAAGGCTAAGTGACTAAACTATGCACAAAAACATAGTAACTGGGGTGGAGAAAAATGGCAGCAGGTGCTCTGGACTGATGAGACAAATTTTGAAATATCTGGCTGTAGCAGGAGGCAGTTTGTTCACAGAAGGGCTGGAGAGCGGCAAAATAATCAGTGTCTGCAGGCAACATTGAAGCACGGTGGAGGTTCCTTGCAAGTCTGGGGCTGCATTTCTGCCAATGGAGTTGGAGATTTGGTCAAGATCAATGGTGTTCTCAATGCTGAGAAATACAAGCAGAAACCTATCCCATCATGCCATACCATCAGGGAGGCGTGTGATTGTCCCCAAATTTATTCTACAGCAGGACAAAGACCCCAAACATACAGCCAATGTCATGAAGAACTATCTTCAGCATAAAGAAGAGTCCTGGAAATGATGGTTTGGCCCCCCAGAGCCTTGATCTCAACATCAAGTCTGTCTGAGATTACATAAAGAGAGAATGATTTGAGGCAGCCTACATCCACAGAAGATCTGTGGATAGTTCTCCAAGATGTTTGGAACAACCTACCTACCAAATTTCTTCAAAAACTGTGTGCAAGTGTACCTAGAAGAACATATGCGGTTTTGAAGGCAAAGGTGGTCACACCAAATATTGGTTCAATTTGGATTTACCTTCTGTTCATTGATAAAAAATAAACAATTTAACACTATTTCTGGAAGCATTCTTACTTTATAGCAGTTTTTCACACCTGCCTAAAACTTTTGCACAATGCATACACACACCAGCCATAACATTATGACCACTGACGGGAGTAATGAATAATATTGGTTATCTCGTTACAATGGCACCTGTGGGTGGGATATATTAGGCTGCATGTGAACATTTTGTACCTGTAGTTGATGCGTTGGAAGGAAAAAAAAAAAAAAAATGGGCAAGCGCAAGGATTTGAGTGACTGACAACAGCCAAATTGTGATGGCTAGGTGACTGGGTCAGAGCAACTCCAAAACTGCAGCTCTTGTGGGATGTTCCCAGCCTGCCGTGGCCAGGACCTAGCAAAATAATGATTGCAGGTTTCGATAGAAAGGTGTATAAAACACACAGTGCATTGCAATTTGTTGCATATGGGGCTATGTAGCCTCAGACCAGTCAGGATGCCCATGCTAACCATTGTTTACTGCAAACAGCACCTACGATGGACATGTGAGCATCAGCAGAGGACGAAAGAGGCCTGGTCAGATGAATCAGGTTTTTTTTTACATTATTTGGATGGCCGGATGCATGTGCGTCACTTACCAGGGGAGGAGATGGCACTGGGATGTACTATGGGAAGAAGCCAAGCAGGCAGAGGCAGTGTGATGCTTTGGGCTATTTTCTGTTGGGAAACCTTGGGTCCTGCCACTCACGTGGATGTTACTTTGACACGTAACACTTACCTGAACATTGCTGCTTACCAAGTGCACCCCTTCATGGAAATGGTATTTCATGATGGCAGTGGCCTCTTAGTAGGATAATGCGCTCTGCCACACTGCAAAAATGGTTCGAGAATTGTTTGAAGAACACAACAAAAGTATGAGGTGTTGACTTGGACTCCAAATTCTTCAGATTTCAAACCAATCAAGCATCTGTGGGATGTGCTGGAAAAACAAGTCCTACCCATGGAGGCTCCACCCCACAACTTACAGGACTTAAAGGATCTGCTACTGACAGCTTGGTGCCAGATACCACAGCATACATTCAGAGGTCTAGTGGAGTCCATGCCTCGACGGGTCAGAGCTATTTTGGCAGCAAAAGGGGGGCCTACTCAACATTAGGTAGGTATTGAATATTATATAAATCCAAAGCACCTATAGAGGCACTCATGGGTCTTGCAGCGGAGATCTGACAATAAAACAGTTTGACTTATCTATGCCTCTATATATCTACTTTGATTTGTATTGATGTTTTTGTGGATTACCACCTGGGTAATTACCTTACAAAGTGTGTGGTGGCTACCTCTGGGATGTATGGACACACACACACACACACACACACACACACATCATAACAGTACCATTCTTCTCGTGGATCTGTACTAGGGATTTGTAGGATTGCTGTGCTCGAGCAAGGTTATACTGATTCTAAAAAAGAAGATAAAGGAAAGTTACTGGATGTGTATATAAAACGTAGACAAACACCATTTACATACAGACCTTAAAAAGACCCACCTTGTTGGCTCCAAATTGCACACGTGCTTTTCCTTTTACCAGGGTAGCATTGATTTGCATGATAACAGATTCTATTGAATAGGCACTGCTCCAGCCCTAAAAAGACACAAGGACATACATGGTATATGTTGTCTATCAACCAAAAGCATGTTAACACAATGTAAAATTACATATATTAACCACTTTTAGCCCAATCATGACAGACAAAAAATGTACCTGTGCAATAAACTTCAACAAATAGCACTACCTCTCTCAAGAAAAAGAGAAAATGCTCAATAAATCATAAGAAATGCTTAGAATCTGGAGCATTGCTTACTAATATTCAGCCTTGCTTACTTGTACTGAGCCATTTAGGGGCAGCCTGACAATTCAGGAGCTGAATTTTAACAAATAAAAGGTTAATACATAATCACAGCACTAGAATATATTTTTATGTAATAGCATATGAGTAAAAAGGTCAGTGACAATTACAAATAGATATATTTGATAAAATAAGTTATGTGGTTTGTTTGAGGGAAAACGCTACTTTATTATCTACCTGTTTTGTAAGAAGCTCCATACAGAGGGCACCTCCACCCAGCACATACCTAAATTAGAAAAAATAAAAATAAACAGAAAAAAAAATGTTTCATGGTCACCATCTGGGCTGCACACAATGTAAACGGTTTTGGTGTTCTATTACGGTTCTCTCTTTACAGACATGGCTCACATATACAATTTTTTTTACAATGTACAGTAAACTCCCCATTATCCAGCATTCACAGGGATTGGTAGATTCCAGATAAATTTAATTTCTGGTTGCTTGAGATTTACTATTAAAAATAGGTTTATATAATGCTATACCCCATACCAAACTATTCCATAAACTCTGTATTGACTTCATATTACTATTGAAATAAAGTAATCAAAAGTAAATGAAGACAGACACTTCGTATAAGCACTGTAATACAGGTACTGTAATGCCGTGTGCACTGTGTCTGCCTGATATTGGGACTGGCGATCAGTATATTGTAATTATTAGCAATACATTGCCGTACTGGGAGTGATCACTAGGTGACGCTTGTTCACAGGATAATAGACCACTTTTCACAGACCATCAGACACTCGTTTCCATGATAACAGCACTTTTCAGCCCATTTCTCTACCTTACCATGCTGTAGAGCTCTCTCCCTCTCCTAGAAGGTTGCAGATCAGCAAGTGCACAGTGTATTTTTTTTTTTTAATGCCGTTTAGATGAGAGTTCTGGTTGGTTGAAGACGGGATAACAGAGTTTACTGTATTATGTTACATAAATGTTAGAAGGGAATAGCCAACTACAATCTTTCAAACGTGGAAATATAAAACAGGAAGAAAAAAAAGAAGGTTCATATGTTTATATCAAAGATGCTGAAATGTGTAACTTGTGTCCCATACACTTTTGCACATGTAATAAATCTCACTGCTTACCAGGAGATGTCACTATTGTGCTGCAGGAAGCACGAGAGTTCCCGGCAGGCAAATGGCAGGCAGCGACTGCTGGTCTTCTGCTGAAAACTACTTGCCTAGCTTTCTCTGGCTAAAATAGTCTCTCACCAAATATCAGCATTTCAGATTGGGGCAACGTGACGGCCAATGAACTGGCATTTTCACAAAAAGAGGTGGTCTTAACACCCTAACACTCTCTCATTCCACCCACAGACTAAAGTCCCTTTTGGTAAAAGTCTGTGAAGACTTAGTGCACCTGACATGACCTAAAATGAGGCAGAACTAAAAAGGTACCTGTGAGTACATTTGTACCTTAAGTCTTTAAAGCAGGTCTAAACCTAAAAAACAAAAATATAACATGACAGATCATCAGTCCTTAGATGTGGAGCGTTTGTTTTATAGAGGCTTTTTTCCTTTATTCATACCTGCTGATACTGTTACTTAAACACTTCTGTACCTGCATGGCTACACTCAATCTTCCACTGTATCTATGGAGGGAGCTTTCCAGATACCTTGGACTACCAACTCTTCCTGCACTGCTCATCTCTATTTCATAAGAGGCATTCTTTTGTAATTCACAGACAGTAGCTAAGAAATGATAAGATTGTTTGATCCATCAGTTCACTACACAGGAAGTTACAAGGACACTGAAATTCTTGGTACACAAAAAGGTTATTTTGTGTACCAAGAACTGGTAAGCTGCAGTGTATTATTTTGTGTGTTTAGATATTCTTTCAAATCAATGTCTGTGTCCTTGTGGAGCCCCTTGGAGACAAATCATAGCCTTGTGTACAAGCTCAGCCTATGAGGCAAGCAGGGCCTCACCACTGTGGCCCTGCTTGCCTCATACTTGCCTAACTGCCACTGGGCTTAGGATGCAAGGGCCCAACCGGTATCAGATTGAAGACAGTACTTTCAGACATCACAAGATTCAGTACTGTTAACATTTAGGCAATTTTAGGCAAGGTAAGGCAAGGTAAGGTTCGTATAAGCAACATTTGACTCCAACACTGCAGGGTTTTTAGCAACACAAGCAGAGAACTGGACACAGATAAAAAAATAAGCAAACACAAGCAATACAGATTAATAATCAAAAGCAAAGCCATACTTTGCCTTAATACTCACCCTCCAGAGAGTACTGGTGATACCACTCTCACAAAAGGAGGGTCAAAAGGAAAATTATCCTGCGGTAGAAAATGAATACTAAATATAAATGGATGAAGCCTTACATATGAGGTATCAAACAGACCGAGAATCAGAAAACAGGCTTCGTGCCGGTAAGGCTTGGGTCCAAACAACACACCTACACATGCTTTACCTTAAAGGAAAAATTCAGTAAAATGCTTTCTATGCCTTCCTTTTCTTTTAAGACCAAAAGGTCACTATGTAATGGGCTGTCCGGGTCAACCCTAGAAGAGAAAAGAAAAAAAAAAACCAATCTCCTATAAAATAAGACATTAGCAAATGCAAACAACCTTCTATATCACATTTGAATCAGAAGACATGCAACACAAAGTATTTTACCTATAACCTATTGTAACTAGAATCAAGCATTTTAAAAACATTTAGGCTAGGTTCACATATCAGCGATCCAGGGCACGATTGCACACAGCGTTTGCTGCACGGCTCCATTGATTTTAATGGCGTTTTGGTCACACGGCAATCGCACACAAAAAAAAAAAAATAGGATTTTGGTACTTGCAATACTGAGAGCACCAGATTTAAATCCCACGGCGGCAACAGGGAGCGAACAGGGGGAACGAAACGTGTGACCCCCTGCACAAAAGTGCGAACGAAGGCGTTGGAAGCTATCGGCCGCTGAAAGAGGACAGCCAATGCCGAAATCTGGCCCTTGATAGTACTCAAGGCCAAACCCTGATCCACACCCCGCTGTAAAAAGGCGAGGATCCTGGCAACGGAAAACAAACGAGGCGGAAATCCCACCGACTCACCAGGCAAAATAAGCCTTCCACGTTCGATGGTAAATCCGTCGTGACACAGGCTTGCGAGCCCGCAACATCGTAGAGATAACCGCATCAGAGAGACCACGGTCCCTCAACACCTGGCTCTCAACAGCCACGCCGTCAAAGCCAACGACGGTAAAGACGGATGGAACACCGGACCCTGAGATAGAAGATCTGGACGGAGCGGCAGGCGCCAGGGGACGTCCGCCACCAACCGAACCACATCTGCGTACCACGCCCTCCTCGGCCAATCCGGAGCCACGAGGATGACCGGGACGCCTTCCACCGTGACCCTGCGAAGAAGACGCGGCAACAGATACAGTGGAGGGAACGCATAAATCAGACCGTAGCAATCCCACGGCGCCACCAGGGCGTCCACCGCATCCGCCCAAGGATCCTGGGTCCGGGCCACGAACCGCTCGACCGGACGATTGAGGCGAGACGGCAGGAGATCCACGTCCGGGATCTTGTTCAGGCGAGAAACCGGCGGATCCACCGCGGGGGGAGTAGACCATTTAGACAGGAAGGACTCTTCAAAAAGGATAGCGAACCGAGAAGCGCTTTGGAACGGTAAACGACTTGCTCGGGCGCTTCCACTCCTTGTAGACAAAATCATCAAAAAAGGGAACGTAAGGGAAAACCTTAGTGGAACGCCTACTCCTGTGCGTCCCAAAAGGAACCGGCGGGAGCGCCGAAGAACTCGGAGTCTCCTAAATTTTTAACGTTTCCCGCACAGCGCGAACCAAAGCCGTGACCAATTCACGCTCCTGGGCCATAAGGGCGGTCCCCGACTCGTCCTCACAACCAGACTCCGCCTGAGAGGAGTCCCCCTGGTCATGCTGCGCGGCCGCAGCAGAAATTTCCCCCTCTTCCTCAGAATCCCCAGAAAGGACCGATAAGGGGGCCGGCAAAGCGCGCTTCCGTGGGGGGCGCTGCGTCAGTGTGCGCTCCATACGGGACACAAAACTGTCCATGGTCGAGGAAAAAGCCTCCAAGGACAACATAGCGCCAGCGGACCCCCCCAAAGACCCCGCAGACACCAAGGGAGACTGGGAGAGGGGCGCAGAAGCACAGGCTGCGCAAAGGGGGGATGTGGGAGAGGTCCTTGAAGAGAGGCCGCAGCCCTCACAGGGCACTGCGTCCAGTTTGTCCCCACAGTCCATGTCCCCGGCAAAAAATATGCCACCAGAACCCCAGGCAAGGAAGGAGACCCCAGCAGGCACCGCCCCCGTCCGTAGGCCCGTCGCTGCAGTTGCCCCTAGCAACAGACCCGCAGGCAGACGACCCCCCTACAGCACCTGAACCAGAGCCGAGGAAAGTGCCCTCCACCGCGACTTGGTACATTTGTGCCTAGCGTCCTTCTCCTGCAGGTGGCGATATTACCCTACAGTACAGGATCTCCGATCTGTTCCCTGTGTCCTTCAATGAACGGGAGAGAAAAAAAACGTACACATACATTGCAAAAACTTGACGTGCGGCTTTTTAAGTTGCAATCATGAATGATTGCACAGGCGGAATCGCAGCGGGAAACTGATCCACCTGGTGCGACTAGGGGGCCATTAGAAAAGAATGGCATTGCTAGCGTGATTAGCAGTTGTGTGCGACTGTGACCGCGTGCCCTTCCAGGCGGTTTTCTGCATCCACTTATTCGAGGAAAAAAAAAAAAAATTGCCCAACTAAATCGATTAAAATAAATCATTACTCGCAACCGCAGCCCTATTTTATATATATCCATAACTTCTTAGTATTGAGTGCCAAGAAGATACACGGTTACTAAAGCTTGCGAAACATACAATGCCGCCACATAATACATACTTAAATATGGCCTGATGCTAAAGGTGCATATCATCCAACCAAAGAGGTTAGAGTTCAATAAAAAGTTAAAGGATAACTCTTACCTAAGCAGCTTAACATGCCATTCATACAGGCTGTCATTTACAAGTTCCACTGAATAAATTCCTGAAAAATAGAATAAAAGTTAAGGAATCAGTAATACTTTGTAGTTCTAAAAAAAAAAAACCCTTTTTTCAGTATCAAGTACCGATATTTATCTTTTGGTGCTCGCTGATACAGCGCAACGATACTTCCGCTAGCATGGAGCCAGCTTCTCAAGCATTCAGGAAAACGGTTTAGCGGGTGATGACATGCCGCCCAGCTGGTCGATTGCCCAGGAAACTGGCTCCATGCGGATTGGCCGGGAAACTGGTTTCCCAGGCAATCAGCATGGAGTCCGCCAACCAGCATTGAGCAGGCTTCCCAGCCAAATCAAGAGGCAGGTCAGTACCCGCCACCTGGCTTACTGATTGACCCGGAAGTCGGCTTCCCAGCCAATCAGCATCGAACTGGTCAAACCGCATGGAGCCGGCTTCAGGGCCAATCAGCATTGAGTTGGCAGCCTTATAAAAAAAAAAAAAAAAAAGGAAAAAAGGAACAAAAACATTTAATAAAAAACAATAAAATATAGTGCAGAGGAGGCCATTAAAGATAGGAGACAAACATACCGCATTCTAAAATTGTTGCAAACTAAAATTGTATTTCGACAAGAAACTGAAATCCCAGGACATATGATATACGCTATAAAATCAGGACAAATTAAAAAAAAAAAAATTATGAATTACTTTGTTAACTACACTAATTATGTACAAATTGCAAAAACTATGAAAAAATATTTTTTTTATAAAAAAAAAAAAATAAATTCAAAAAAATAGAGACATTTGTATGTGCAATGAATAAGGAAGACGGAAATTATGGTTAAACAAACCTAGCAAAAATGGCAAAATTGTTCTGGTCCCCAGAAGAGAACACATTTTCTGAAGCTGTGTCACTAGGGGTTAAGTTCCTTAATGATATTTTAAGCAAGCCAAGTTGTTTAAGCTTTTGTGGACCTTTAAATGCACAGAAGACATTCCTGACAATGAGGAACCCTAAGTGCTGGTTCACACAACGTGTGCACTGTCATGCCGCATTGTTATACCACACTGCTCACTTGTGTTTCCTTCTTCTACCTTTATGTTATTTCAATGCACTGCAGTGTAATGTAATGTGCTGCACTGCGATAACAATGATACCTGCATCACAACACACACCAATACAGCACATTGGAGAGAATAGGCCTTATACAAAGCTTTTTGCCTCGTCATTGTGTTGGGCAATGCTGCCAATTGGCTGGTGTGAGCAATTCCAACTTTTTTCCAACAATAAGGGACGGCAAGACAAAAAATAAATAAAAAAGGGACCAACCTGTTTTATAACTTTGTGATCTGTATATATCCCTGAGCTCTTTCATAAGACGATCAGAAGCTTGTACGGATCCAGACACTGCACCCTAACAGAAGAGAGAAAAACACAGAAAAAAAAAAGAAGTTCCTTTTAATCCTAGTTGAAACCTCTAGGGGACAGAGTGCAAAAAAAGGTTTTAGTAGTTCTTGAGGTTTATAGTTTGCATCAACATGGTTGTGTTCTTGTGTTTATTTAAAAGCATAACTATACATTTAATGTACTTACCTCTTTTTATAATCATAATCTGTTAAATTTAGTTATCTGCCCTTTTTTCCTTGGCAACTGCCATTAATAACTCATGCCAGTGTTTACATTCAGCTTTAAAGAAGTATAATATACTCTTCTCAATAATAATTAGAGCTGGCGTGGGACACTGCACCTTTCACACGTCGGCTATATATAGCGAGAGCGGAGCTATGAGCGGTGCACTGCTCCCGGCAGGGATTCCCTCCTCCCCTCAGTTCCTCCAGCGCTCACTGGAAGGACAGACAGGAGAAGGCTGGCACAGGCTCTAGAACAGCAAAGCCAGCTGTCAATCAGGCAGCCGGATGTATCCCAACATATTGGCTGCTCCGCAGCTCTGTGCTGTCAGCATATAGCAGACAGTAGCCAAGTTTATGCCAATTTTGGGATGGGACATAGAAGTACATTAGCAAATGTACTCCTGTGACCCAACAGTAGTAAAACCCCCCAAAAAGTTTGGCTTTATGTCCTTTAACTGCAGAGAAGGCCCAAGAACAATGAATGCAGCTGCCTACACCTACTGGAGTCAAAGTCTTCATTGATTCCAATGCTGCAGAGCACCTCTCCATTCTTGAACCGTGCCAGGGTTGTAGTGAAAAGGCCTTTGTCCTCATCGGTGCTTTTCAAGGGGGACCCCCCACCCCTCCCTGCCAGGCCTCGCATTAAGTGTCTGGTTGGGAATTTTGGGGCAAAGAAGGGTCTGGTATGAATTTGTAGGGGAACCCCACGCTGTGTTTTTAAAAAATTCTATTTCTAACAATTTGTGGGGAGTTTGTTGTATGGAATAGCCCATATAGCAGCCCTTCCGGATCAGCTGAACCGAAGGCTTCCTGAAGCCGAAGGATTAGCCAAAAGTTCAGCTCTTCAGTGAATAACCCCTTAGTATGATGCCACCATATCCCCTAGATAAAATTTTTGGTATGGGGGGGGGGGGGTTGGGGGCCAATGGGTGGTTTTG